AAAGTCCACATTTTAATTCAGATCATAGTTTAAAATGTCTGGCTCCAACAGAGAGAAAGCAATGGGTATTGATTTCTGTGGGCTGTTTCTGCTAACTCCAAAGAGATAATTGGTGTCGAATGGCAGCTCTTACGCTGAATTTTTATCGAGTTTTCATCATGTTCTTGCTAGATGTTCTTCAAAGTTCCAATCAGTCTTCTCATTTCGTCTATTTATTTATTTATTTATTTATTTATTTATTTATTTATTTATCTATTTATTTACTTATTTATTTGGCCTAACGAGCCTTCGAGAATGAGACATGCTGAAGGAAGAATACTGTCTTCTAATAATTTCACTCTTGGCTTGGCTTCCATGTTGAAGGGACGCAGCAGTACAGACAGGCAGAGGTACATACCTGCTCTAGCTAAGTATGGGCTTCAGTGGAGCAGCTCAGTCTGAGTCACTTACACAGTTGAGTCCCTGAGCTTGTTTCGGTCCCTAATATTTTGTTGCTCTGGGCAACCATCAAGTCCACATAAAGACTTCTGCCAACTGGAGAGGATGCCTAACCACAGGAGCCCGAATTTTCTTTTAACTCTTTGTTGAAAGCTGAAAATAACAAATGGTGTCAAGAATGTCCTCTCATTAGAGAAGAGTGTCACATTTGACTTGACACGCCTCTTATTAATTTCTTAGCAGAATATAAGTCAAGAAACCAACAGCAGTAAATCAGAAGCAAGGGTTTTTACAAAAATAATAATGATATATCATGATGAAAGAGCTAGCTCTTGGATGCTATTTTTTTTTCCCGTTTTACAGAGGAAAATCATGCTTAAATTACCGAATAGAAGTTAGATAGGGTGGTAGTGAGCGGGGTGGGATTTTAGTTCTGCTCAGTGCCGTGACTCGAAATGACAGGTGCCAAATGAGCCATCAGTTCTCACCTGTGACCATCCTTCTTTTCTAAAAGCAGATGGTGCTGTGTGAAAAGGCCTTCAGCTGGCTGATGATGGTTCCTTCACACTCTCTTCTCAGACAAACTGATCACCAGTTTGAGGAATGTTCAAGCCTAGCGGGAGTATCATGTTGGTTGAAAGCCATCACTGCTTAATTAGCCTGATTCGGTCTCTGCTGTCTCAAAAGTGTTATGACAATCTCTATATTTTGGTAGTCTTGTGACTACCAAAGAGCTTCTGTTTCTTGTTAATGTGTACATACTTATAACATGCCATGCTCTTAGGGCTTATTTTTTTGTTTGTTTGTTTCTCTGAAACTCAGAACACAAAAGTAAACACACATTTATTTCTTGATTGACGATAAATCATTATTAAGATTATTAACTCTGGATATACTAGCAACTTATTCACGTTCAGCAATCCTGCAATTTATAACAGCAAAAACCAAAACAGTGAGGAGACCCCAGAACAGTCAAGAACTTGCACAAACAAAATACATTCTCTAGATCTTTAGTACCTCAGCTGTACTTTGAGAGGTGAATTAGCCTCGAACTGCCTACTTTTATTTTGAGTTAATGTGTTCTAGTTGCATGTTAGATTTAATAGTTTGGTAATTTTGTTGGTCAATAAAGAAGCAAAAGATAAAGAAAGATGTGAATAAGGCCAAGCCTGGTGACATCAAGAAGTTACCATTGAGCTATGCTACAGTTTGAATGTGCCCTCTCCTAAATCCAGGGATGTCGATGTTAAGAGTATTGAGAGAGTGTGGGTGGTGGTGGTGCACACCTTTAATCCTAGCACCTGGGAGGCAGAGGCAGGCAGATCTTTGGTAGTTCTTGGCCAGCCTGATCTACAGTTCGAGTTCTAGGACAGCCAGAGCTGTTACACAGAGAAACTCTGTCTCAAGAAAAAAAAAAAAAAGTAACAAGAGGAAGGGTTTTGAAATAGTAATGACACCATGATAGCTATTCCTTGGGAATGGAAGGGATGGGAGAAAGTGGCCTGATAAGAAGAGTGAAGGGGTAGGTTTATCATTATCATTATTATTGGCCTTTCCACTTCCCACCATTTTAGGATGCAATAAGAAGGTCTCCATCTGAAGTGAGTGCCTTGCTCTTGGACTTTCCAGCCTCTAGAAGTATGTGAAAATAATTTTCCATTCTTTATAAGTTACCCAATCTGTGGTATTTTGTTTTGGCCATGCAAACTGACAGAGACAACATGGCAGCAATAGATGTGCCAGGCTTAGGGTGTGTATGTGTTTCTAGGGACCTAGCCCAAAGTGTGTGCGTAATAAGCAAGCCCTCTTTGGTTGAACCGTTTCCCCACCCAGCAGTCTTTTTTTTTTTAACGGTAGAGGCAAGAAGTCCTTCATGGACCATTTGCTCTTAGGCACCTCTGTGAATGACAAGTGAAATGAAAGCAGAGGCTCGGGACTACCGGAGCCATTGGGATGATGGCTGCACTCTTTCAAGAGGTTAAGGATAAGCAGAATACCTCTTAAAGGTTTTCAGTCCAAAGAATTACAGGTGGCATCATGAGTTCTAGCCGGGGATTATAGTCCTTTGCAAACCCAGCACTTACGGAGACTGAGGCAGGGCAATCAGTGTGGATTGTAGGCAAGCCTGGGCCACACATTGGGTACCAGGATAGTCTGGGTTACAGAGAGAGACGCTTTCTCAAAAATATTCATGAGTCTTGGTCTCCTGCAACATCTGATGTGTGGAACACTTTCTCATAAATTAAGTGCAGGTCATCTGGGCACTGAGGGCAAGTAGTATTACACGTGATATTGGAATCCAGAACTCACCTGTTTTCACCCCACATGTACAAGCAAGAATTGCAAAGTTTAACACATTCTCAGAAGTATTTTCCATCTAATTGTCTGAATCATACAATCAGGAGTCTGTACATCCATATCTTAACTATACAAAGATAGTTAAGGAACTATACAAAGCTTGTTTCACTAGCTCAGCACCTTTATTACACGCTGTATCTGGACACTGATTTTACCTCTGATCTATTTTCCTTTACTCTCGGATTTTTTTGGGGAGGGTGCTGTTTGTTTGTTTCATTTGTTTTGCTTTGAATTTGTGTGTGTGTGTGTGTGGGGGGGGATGCTTAATTAATTAACAGACAGGTTTGTAGACCAGTAGCCTCAAAGCTCAGCACATTTATTTGGCTGCTAAAGACACTTAGAAGGGAAGTAACTTCTTTGATGCCAGAGTTGAGTGCTTCTCTTCTAAAAACAAACAAACAAACAACCACAACAACAAATAAAACCTGTTCCTCCTTAATGAGAATATTCTCTGCAAGTACAAATCTCCATTTCTATGTCCCCTTCCTTTTATTTAACTATTTCTAAGCCCTTCGCCCCACCTCATCCACTAGATCTTCCCTATTTGGCTTCAGATCGCCCAAGCAGAGGTTGTTACCATTTGATGTTTATGCACAAACAGAGTGAGTGGGTGGCAGTGGCTCTGCTAGTTTTCCCAAGAGAATCTGTCACATGTCCAAGCCAGCTCCTCTTTGAAGCTGGGTGCCGGAGCACCGGGCTTCGGTTTGCACAAAAGATTTTAAACCTGCAGGTGTGATGGCCCAAAATAACAACAATACTTTGAACTTTTGTAGAGCCTTTCATCCAGTGATTCCAAAACATTTCCCTTTATTAAACCCTTAAGAGGCTGATAGACAAAATAACCCAAGATACAGAAATGAAGGTCTGCTGTGTAAGCAGGATTGGTGTGTTTCAAGCTCCCACGCAAGTGAGGCAGGGAACACAGGACACTGTATTGTTTGTGCAGACACAGCACATGTCTCATCTGTGATACTTTATTTCCCAAAACCCCAAGAAAAGTCAGCGGTTTCCTCTTTAGTTTTGCTGAACTCTAGAGTGATCATTTCACCTATACTTGTTTGTGTACATAACTTAGTATATTTTGGGTCTTAATTTAACCAGGTGTTAGCTTCTATTTCTTGTTTTATATATATATATATTTTAAATGTAGAAATGGTTTCTGGCTGTAGTGATGATAAATATCTGCTTGATGTGTGTGTGGCACGTGTGGTATCTGTATTTATATGTTCATATGTGTGTCTAGTGTCTTCTTCATTCTCCACCTTGGCTTTTTGTTTTGTTTTAAGACAGGGTTTCTCTGCATACATAGCTCTGGCTGTCCTGACATCTGCTTTGTAGACCAGGCTGGCCTCTAACTCTGCCTCCCAAGCCCTGGGATTAAAGGTGTGTGCCACCCCTCTCAGTGCCACCTTGCTTTTGTTGAGACAGTGTCTCTCACTAAGCCTGGAGCTCATCGGTGTGCATAGACTGCCTGTCTCCCAAGCCCTCCTGTCTCCACTGTCTCAGCGCAGGGATTACAGGCATGGACCACAATGCCCAAACCCAGGTCTTTGCCCTTGTGTGAAAAGTACTTTATGAACCCATTGTTTGGTTTCAGGCACCCCTTGGTCCTTACCTGCTGCAGGGCATGGCTGGGATACCTTACCCTCTACCCTGAATTCCCTAGCCCAGGGGCGGGACTTCCCCTCACCCAGAGGGCCTTCACTATAAAATCCAGACATTTTGGTCTTTCTCTCTCTCATTCCTTTCTCTCTCTGTCTGCACTTTCCCTTCTTTCTCTCCCACTCCTCTTCTGCTTCCAATAAACCTTCATTTATTTGTACATAACTTTGTCTTGACGTTAACTCATTCTGTTATTTAAATCACCCATCCTTCCCCATCTTGAGTTGATTTTTTTTTCTTTTTAAGATTTGTTTATACAGTGTTCTGCCTGCATGCCAGAAGAGGGCACCAGATCTCACTATAGATAATTATGAGCCACCATGTACGTAGTTCCTGGGAACTGAACTCAGAACCTTTGGAAGAACATCCAGTGCTCTTAACCTCTGAGCAATCTCTCCAGCCCTTGAGTTGATTCTTAAATGAGATTCTTAGCATTCAGTCCTCTAGTTCTGTATTCTGTTTCTCTATTTCTCTTTCTCTCTCTCTCTTTCTCTTTCTCTCTTTCTCTTTTCAGTTCAGATTTATGTCAGAGAACCAGTTTGCAAAATATGGACCGCTTCACGAATGTGCATGCCACCCTTGTACAAGGACCATGCTAATCTTCTCTGTACTGTTCCAATTTTAGTCTATGTGCTGCTGGAGTGAGGTACTGTATTCTACTTATCAAACCAATCAACCAACAAACAAAAAGTGTGTTTGTTACTAAATTACAAAATTACTAAATTACTAAATTACATTTAGTAATTTTCTGTTTTTCTCCTTGATACTACTTTTGCTCTGTCCTATGGGCTAGGAATCATAAGATAAATACTTATGAGTGAAATGTGTCTGAGGAATGGTTTATCAAACACTGGTTCTTGTTTTTACTTGTTTCTGTTATATTACTGAGAAACAAACAAACAACAGAAAACCTTCCCCCCTCCACATTTCACCAGTTGCTTTGATGTCTTGTTTTGACCAGCTGTTGATCTTACTGTGAATGTTCATTTACACCATTTGAAATGTTATGTGAATGCAGTCCCAACAAAAGGCACAGCACTTTGACATTGTTTCAAACATGTTTCTGAGGAATCTTATTTGTGGCAGATGGAGACTAAAACCTTCCATGGGGGAGGGCTCTTAATGAGTCTTAATTGCTTGCACATGAAAATGTAGTGACTAAGACTGTGTGCACAATTAGGAATTTAAACATGTAGGAAAAAAACTGGCCAAAGAAACAGAAATCTTTATTTATTTTTTTTAAGGCATGGCTATTCTCCACACAATATTGGAAATGATTTAAGACAAATACTGCTTTTGTCTTCACCTCACCTTTTCCTAGGTTGGCCTTCCATTTCTTTTGGACTTCACTGGAGAAAGTGTCCTGGCACATTCAAGGGCAACATAGTCATGAGTGTTACTCTTCTTTGGTCCTACTATTCTATTCCCCAGATTTGAAGACTGGTGCTTACTCATCTCCTTCAACTTTTGTTTGGCATTCCAGGATCAATTTGCTTGGACCCTTAAACTGTGGATGAGAAACAATGTCCAGGGCCAAAATTTCCCAAAGTTAAATCATTAGCAGGGGCATTGCCACAATCCCTGACGTCAGCCACTAAAGCTAAAGGACACATCTTAACGTCTCTTATAAAAAGACATACAGATCTTTAGAAATGAGCCTGATGAGGGTTGTGCTTTCAGTTTGGTGTTAACTATGTTTCCTCTGCATTGGGTACTGTGCTACAATGATGCTCATGGATAGGGCAGACCTAGTAACTTCTGGGGACTGTCTGGTTACTTTTGAGTGTAGTGAAAAAAGCATGACTGTTTCCAGGTAAGAGGACTGGCTGTGTTTAGAGTGTGGGAAGACTAGATGAGGGCTGAGCTGATGGAGTGACACAGGACAGGACTTGCTGCAGGTTGCACGGCTTTGTTGGGGTGCAAACTGTGGAGTCAAAGCGGAAGCTACAGTGAGAAGTCAGTACCAGGGACTCTGTAAGAAGCAGCCCTGAGGACATTCAAGTCCTTCCAGCCTTCCACTGGGCACCATGCTTCATAATAACTGACCCTTAAGTCTGTAAGTCACGTAGCATTGTACATTGAACCTCCACTGGTCAAAGGCATTGCAAAACATCTCGGCCCACCAATGGGCCAAAATATCTTTTTCTAGATGATGTAGCTTGGATCTTGAATAGCCCCCAGATGGCTATACGCTACATCATTGGTCCATATCTAGAACCCATAACAGGTGAAGCTTAGTGGAAAGAATTTATATCACGGGCTATCTCGTTGAAAGGCTCTTGGGATTCTCTTCTTTCTGTCTCCCACAGTTGGACATGATGAACTGATGGGACCTTCTCTTCCATGTGAGCCATCATTATATACTGTGATGCTATAGGATCAAAGCTATAGAGTTAAGTACCATAGGATAAAATTTCTGAAACTGAGTAAAAACAAAAACATTTTTTTTCTTTACTTTTAAGGTGATCATCTATGTATTCTGTCTCAGAATGGAAATTCAATATGCCGGACAACCTCAAATTCTCCTTGTGATTCTTTGTGGGAAACTTACACCTGTCTGAATACAGATGAGGCTTCTAGGAAGAGCTCTTAGATACATTCTAGTTGTCTGGGTATCCACACCCAGAAGCTCAAGAAACGGGCCTTCAAATAAACTTTAAAACCTAACTCATATCCCAGGATTCACTTAAATGATACTTTTGGAAAACGAAGGGTATTGTGAATAACTGCATTTCCCTCTCTATTATCTTATATGCCTTACTGAAAATATAAATAAGGAGAACCTATTAAACAACCACTCACTTAGATTGCTATTGAGAAAAGACTGAAAGAATGAACATTATTCCTTGCTTTGGTTCCTACACTTGAAAGTCAACAAAGAGCACAGGCCACAACACACTGAATTCAGCTATAAAGCACCAATGCATGTGAGGAAGGCTAGAGATCAGTTCTAGAGCACTTGACCAACAGGTGCAGGGCTCCGTGTTTGATTCTGAGCACTGAAAGAAAAATGGAAGAGAGGAACAAGGAAAGAAGAAAGGAAGGAAGGAAATGTAGTTCTATTTCTATATAGACAATTTTGCCAGACAACAATGAGTTAGCAGCCAGTGAATTTATACTACAGTGAGCTCTACGACCAACCCTCTTTTACTTTCTTCCGTGGCTACTTTGAAAACATTCCTCTTTTTATTGCTCCAATACTTATTTCTCAGGCTCTCCAGCTTCCTATATCATTTCCCTAAACTGTTTCTACTCTCTGAATTAAGTAATCCTGTACACAGTGTCTTCTCTGTTAGGAAAGGACTTCATCCTGCCCCATTTTGTCCTTCTGTCTCTTCCTCCTCTCCTGATTTGGTTTGTTCACTTATTCATTCATTTATAAGCCTCCTCTTAAAAAAAAAAACTTTATTTAATGTTTTCTGTCACCCAGTAGAACACATTTCGGTGCTTTGGGTTCTGAAAGATTCTAGGATAATGTTTCTAAGTCCAGGAGCAGTATTTTTTGCCTGGGTGAGTATTCAGAGCTTAAGCAGTTCTTTCCAGACTAGGGGTTGAATGAATAAAACAGTAAACCTAGGAGAACACACAAAAATGATGCTCTCCGGATGACAAGTCAGTGTGAGATATGCAAATAAAGAAGATGCCTTTAACAGCTATACTTTCCCACTCGTGACGATGCAGGGGACTACAAATGCTTCCCTTGAGCTGCCCACACTACAACACAAACTACAGAAATAAAGACAGACTGCAAAGAGCACTGGATGCTTAGGCATCAGAAATGTCTAGAGTAAGGGTGCTTGAGGGATGAAGAGCTGGGAAAACCCAATAGAACAATAGATGTGAAGATCTCCACGAAAGCTATTGAGGAGAGAAAAGATGGAGATTTCCAGACCCCACCCCTGATGAATGGAGACGATGTAGTTCTTTCAAGGCTTAAGGGTGAGTGGTTCTGGAAGCCGGAAGCAAGGTAACCCAAGAGCCCACTGCCACATGAATTCTTGAAATGCCCCTGTAAATTTTACTTCTCTAGACCACTTTGTTATTGATAAAGATGGAAGAACTACAGCATCCACCTCTTCAGATTGTTACAGTGTTGTTTTATATTTCCTTTGTTTGAGACAGAGTCTTACTTTGTAGCCCTGGCTGGACTGGAAGCAACTATTTAGGCCAGGCTAACTTTAAACTCTCAGAGATTCCCCTACCTCTGCCTCCCAGGTGCTAGGATCAAATCACATAAATACAATGTTTAATTGGCATATGCTGACATTTCTTACTATCAGTACTAATTTTATATCTATGTTGATACTAAAGCAATTCTTGCGATAGTAAAAGAAAGGAGAGTGTGAATGGATGGACCCTCTATTGAGAGCTAAATAACTCAGGGTAACATTTGAACAGTATGATCTGGGAAATGAGCTCCCATAGAATTTGAAATCTTTCATCCCACACAGTCTTTGCATTTCCCAGTGTGCTTAGTACTGTTCTTAATTCTCAAGTGGGTAGGAAACACTAAGTTCATGAAAGGAGTGGATGGAGAATACAGCTTTTGTCTTTTCCTTTGAATGTTTCAAAAGGAGACTTTTATTTCAATATTTCAAAGGTACTGTGTTTGTGGAAACAAAAAGAATACAGCTACTAAACCTAATATTTCCCAAACTCACTCCTACCTCATACACAAACACGCATGTGACGCTTCATTCTTTTTTCAGACTGGAGCAAGTTGGGCTAATTAAAATCTTGTATATATTTCAAGAGATATCAGAGATTCTGACCCTGAGGATGACGAACGTGATGACGAAGACGTCAGATAATAATGTCATCTTGTATTTCTTTCCTCTGATCCCCTGGCACTTCACAGAATATGTATTATCTAGTGTATTCAAGATTGCACTGTTGTGTGTGTGTGTGTGTGGGGGGATGCTGCTCTATGCATTTTCCAGAAAGACAAGAACACTGTACCTGGGCAGTGCTCTTAGCTACTTTCTTCAATATCCTCCAACTCTGTGACCCTTTGTTAGTAGTAAGTCTCTGAGCCCTGTCTCAAGGATTTGGTTGGGAAATGCCTAGCAATCATTTCTGGAGTTTGTTTGCAAATATCCCACTATGATTCCTTGATGTAGGGCCATAGGGGAATTTTGACTCTCTCTTTTTTTCTTTTATAACACTATGATACAATGCGAAGTAGACTTGGTAACATAAAAGTATTTTAGCTTTTCCCAGCAATTGAAAAATAACATGGTCTTGCTATGGGCTCAGTGGCCAGCAGAGGGCTTCCATCCATAAGAAATACTTGAAAGTATTTCAAAATAAAGCTAATGCTTGCTTGTAGCATTCTGATACTGAACACAATGGGCCATACCACCCCAGGATTGTTGCTAGGCTGCCGGCTGAGGCCCAAGAACCACTGAAGTTCGTCATTAGATTATTTATAGTGGGGGTCTCTCTGGGCCTGGCAATTCCTTGTTAACATCTAGTGCCTTCAACTGAAACCAACTAAAAGGTGCTTGTCAGAATAAAAGAATTTTTCTAAATTTTTATCTTTTTCTCATAAATCATTTTTTTAAAAAGCCTTTCCTAACAAGAATTTCAATGTTATTTAACATTTGGGATATTTAAAAACCTCTACATACTTGCAATGCTATGACTGATT